TTTTTTCTCTGGCTCCAGGACTGAATATTCACTCCGCGATATCCCAGTTTATGGCTCAGACCCTGACTGCACCATTCTAAAATTGGTTGACTTCAAATAGGTGCAAGTGGTAAAAGGATTCGTAATAAGTCGCAACTTGAAAGATTTCTTTGTTCAAAAGTGTCAGACTCTACATTTTCATGTAGGTTGATGGTCAGACCATTGTCCAGATAGACTAACAAACATTTTTCGTCGTTCTGCTCAAAGTTCAGACAGAATTTGCACAAACACCACATAGTGACCGCTACACATTAGTCTGCATATGTCAAAATTCCCTAAGCTGTTCTATGTGAAACAGTGCTCAATGATCCCGATGTGTTCCACCCGACAGCATTCAAGAAAAGGCGTCACTTTTGCATCTAAAAAGACGTAAAAATGCATCTGGATTTTTCTCGTTGACATTCTCTGACTAAAACAGTAAGGCAGGATCCTCGTTCCGTCTACGTAAAAAATAGTAATTATCTATTAGCTACGTTTTTAAGAAGCGAAACATATTTCTGAAAGGAATCTGATGCAAGGTGTTCTAAATCAAATTCTACTATGTTCGTAAACAGCAATGCATGAGAAGGTTTATGCAGCATAATATCAAGCATATACAATGGAAATCGGATATTAGAGATGAAAAAAATCAAGTAAGGAATGATCGCATTTTGATTAAAAGCACTTTGCAGATAACTGATTTTACATCAAGTAGCTGCCAATAATATTACAGTGAAAGAGCCATTGCACAACATTTAAGTGCAAACTTAAAGAGATGGGAGGCGCTGAGGTTACTGCTCGTCTTTGTCTTTTGTGCCATGCTTGAGCATACGAGTGAATTCCACGTAGTCAAAATTTCCGTTTTTGATAGGAGCATCACGGAAAAGTTCATCAACCTGAATATTGACATAAATCTGTACAATCAAGCGATAACATCGGAATGCTAAGATGACTTTTGGAAGTTTAATCGGTAGATACGCTTTAAAAAACCATTTAAATCTTGTACACATCTTTAATATTTTCAGAAAATGCAGAACTCAACGCTGTTCACGCAAACGAATGACCCTTAGGATAAGCATTATTTTGCAAAAACGTTTGCGTCCGTTCTCTCAAGAATCTGGTAGGTGGTGAATCACGCTCAACAGATATTCAACGATCTGTAATCCATTGTTCCATTGCTAACTGATAGCTAGTTTAGAATTGCAAGAGACGTTCCTTTGGATAAAGATATTCATTTTCATATAGAGGACTACGCCCAATGATTGGAAACGGTATGAAATGAGTATCAAAAAAAATAACACAAAAATTCTCAAACTCACTTGCTCATGAGTGTAGCGATCACCCATTGTTGTAAGCAACTCACGAAGTCGATCTTCGCTCAGTTTTCCCGAATTATCTTCATCAAAGCACTGAAAGGCATTCCGTATCACTTCTTCGGGGTCAGTGCCTATAAACTGAAATTTCGAACTGCAAAGAAAGGGTACTTCGATTTTTGATCTAAGTGGGAGTCAAGAGATCTCCATAATTCAGGATCGGCTAATCCATATGAAGTTTGGAGATAAGCTTATGAGCGCAGTGAGCGGTCGATCGAGGATGCGCCGCAGTTGCGTTGCGGCCCCGCAGTCAATTAACATTTTACTTGAAGTTTGGTACTCATCTTACCGGTACACTTGCTGCCGACTTCTGGAAACTAGAACACAACCTAAAGAAAGAAAGTAAGTCAAAAACCGTAGTAAAAAAGGAGGAAAAGCTAGGATAAAGCGAAATTACGCCAGATCGGCACTCAACAGGAGGGCCGCAAAGCAATCGCAATCGCCACGCAGGCTCGATCGGCCGATATTTATTGCGATCATAAGCTTTAAAAAAA